AGGTCGATTAGGATCGTGAGCGGGCGTCGGCAACCTGTGATCATCGACTGATCCATTCGACAATTTGATAATTATATTTGATTTTATAATCATTGGAATTAGAATTCTGTGTTTTTACGTTCAAACTCCAAAAGCCTATTGTGATTAGTTTCTTAATACGATTTATCTCATTATTCGCAAGAAGACTGGATTTAAAATTAAAATGCCACTTACCTGAAGCTCCATCTTCATAGTTTTATGATAATTAATTTTGGTTCATTATGACCAGCAGCCGAAGAAGGTTGTCGACGCTAGATTTAATAAGTATGAAATGCATAATTTTATAATAACATTAGAATAATTTTATAATAAATAATAAGAAGAGTAAAATATGTATTTCATATCTAATGATCTAATATTTAATGGTATAACCCTTTGCACTTTTACAATATTCTCTACGAAAAACGCGGACGTATTTATTGACAAAGCAGTAACGTTTTAAAGAAAATATAAAATGTTAGAACGTTTTCGAGATAATTAGTCTGCTTAAATATGACAGAGAATTGTATTGATACAGATTTTATTAAACAAAAATTGTTAACACAGAAAGTACCATAACTGCAAAGGGTTGATTGTTAATCGTTTTTTTGTGAAATAAAATTCTGTCAAGAATAAAAACTTATTTTAAAATAATTCAGTGTTTTCGATCGGGGTTGTTCGGAGAAAAATTAATGAACTGCTTTCACGTACATCATAGTGATTAAAAGTTCGATTAATAGGTTTCCGGTAGGTAAAGTGTTAAAGCAGCTATGAAGCAGAAGGTATCCGCTCGGCAGACGGAGTCTCGCCGCTCCCATTAAAATGTTTTATCGATCGCCATTGATGGCCAGCGATCGGCCGATAACGGCGACACGATTCGCGATTTAGCGGCCCCGTTTGCAACCGATTTCGCTGGCTTGGAATCGTGTCGGCCCTTCGTGGGAGTCCTGAATTCATTTAGAAGGGTGCGAGAGTGATTACAGACGGCGTTTGCCGAATAGCAATTATTATTTTTACAAGAACGACGGGAACAATTCGTGGTGATTTTTATGAATTTACAGAAAGCGGATTTCGGTGGACGATTAAATGTTTGAAGAATATATATCGTTGGACACTGTGTTGTAAATTGAATTGAAGGAACAGTTAACGCTTTTTGAATATATATTGGTTTATATATATTAGTGTATCTATATTTTTAATAACTAAAATAGTATTACAACTAAAACTAAGATAATTATATAATAATTAATTATATTAATATTATATTATGTATATATATATAATTAGTACATTATAGTATATTATTATTAGTTCAATAATAATATATTACAATGTACCAACTATATAGTAACTTTCTTTTATCACTTTTTATAAAAATCTACGATCTTAGAGAAATGATTTGCAACGCTTTACAATCTAGCAAAAACATATTGCACTGTTCGCGTGCACTATGATAATTTAATTATAACTTATTATTATAATTATTATTATTAAAAAAATTATGTATGAAAACTTCATTCATCACTCTTTTTTAAGATTTGCAATCTTAGGAGCATTTGCTTACAACGCTTTGCAATCTAGTTAGGAACATTCTGCACTGTCCGCGCGCAAAGAAATGGTTGCAAGTGAGAATGCCGCGCGCAGAAGTTGATATAAAAATACCTTAAGAATTAAATTATTACTGGTTTTATAATTACTGGTTAAGATGAGCCTTAAATATAGAACACAAGTTTACACAAGAATGGTCGATATGATCCAATGTCTTTGAACAAACCACGCACTTCGTGTTTTCAAGCCTCAAGTTAACGAACACAGGACAATCGTACTCGACGACGCAAGTTCCACCATTAAAATGGAAACTGAGCAAAGACAGACGACCGCGAATTATACTTAAATATTTGTTCGTCAAAAAGAAACCGTAAGGACGCTTCTGCACGCAAGTGGAGCGTTTTCGGCCATCTTGTTCGGTGTGAACGGCGCAGCTGCCGAACGATCCCTACTCCTCGACATCCCTTAACTTTTCAACTCCCTTTGAAGCCACCCTACTCGGCTCGCGCTAAACTACCAGCCACAGTTTCGTGCTACCTTCCTGTTTTTAATTAGAAATATTACCTTCTTGTGAAACTTTTATATATTAATAACTAAATAATTTAACTTTTATATATTAATAACTAAATTAAACTAATTTCTTAATTCGAGCATAAGTTCTGGAGCAATTCTTATAAAAACAAAATATCTGCGGATATTTATGCAAAGTGTAGGGTTGTTGCACGTGTTGCGAAAACAGGAATGATATATATATATAATATATATATTTCATTCTGTGCTTGATTATTATAGATATCGATGGAATTAAATGTCTCTAACCTTTCTGCTGATTTAAATTACAGATGCAGGCATTTTTCTCATAATTCCATAATTCACAGCCTAATTATGAATTAATATATTAATATTGAATTAAAACTAAGCGGAGAGATTTCGAGCTCTAGATCAGGCGTCTTTGATTTTGTCCATAGAAAATGGGGAACTTTGTCTGCTTTTAATATTTTAACACATTCAGGGGTTTCCAATAATTTCTTTGCGACTTCTGAAATTTTCGGATAAGTAAACGAAATCATTAGAAACGACTGGATCGAAGATCAGGGCATGATCGTTTTGTACATTTCTAGGCGAAAATGTTTGTTTCCAGGTAAACCTTGATACTTTCCCATCCGACGAAGCCCACACAGGTATTAAACAATCTCCGGAAGATTCAATGTTGTAAAACTCGCAAGACAAAAGGTTGACGATGGATCTAGGTGTATAAGTCGATCGATAAGGGATCCGAGGGAAGGGAATTGCGGAGAGCACGACAAAGTTCGACCTTTACGGTGGATCGTGAGGAGAGAGGATGCCGTTCGGGGCAAGATCGGGCCAGCTGACCCTGCAACCACTATGATTTATGGCCGGACCAGCGAAACAACCGAGCATCCTGTAGCTCTCAGGTATACCGAAAGCGCGGCCGTTCACGCCGACGTTCCGCTCGGCGTTTGGCCGCGCAGGTTTCCGCTTGGCTCTCGTACGGCTCGCGTTTCGGCCACTCCTCTCCGCGGCTCGATTGCTTGCTAACGTCATCTTGAAAATATTTTGACGCGCCAAAATTCATACTTTCGAGCTGATTAATGACGACGCTGACTCAGCTAGAGCCGCTTCCGCTTTCGTTACGCCTTTAGCGGCGGACACGGTTTCTTCGATTTCGACGATTTCGGAAAATCTGGCGCCGCGTCGAAGCCCGATTTTCGAGGCCGAATTCAACCGAATCGAATTAATATCGCCGCTTTTTTTTGATTAACTTTTTGTCCTGTGATCAAAATCTATTTGAATGCTAAACCAATCGTGTACATGAAAAATGACCGTTCTTTTATTTTTAATTGAACATTAAAACTATGAAGACTGTTACATAGAAAAAGATGCGGTACATACCTTAATTCGAATATATTGGGTCGTTCGGAAAGTTGTTTCGTTCTTTCGCGTGAAAATGAAAGATGATTTTTTTAATGTTGGGAATAAAAGCAAACTCCTCGACATTCTTTTTCTTTTTTTCGGTAGCTTTGAAATCTTATTGTTTTACATTTGGAAGAATACTGAATGAAGTGAAATCTTTACGGAAAACGAAACAACTTTCCAAACAACCCAATAAAATGGCGAAAGCCCTGAGTAAATTCAGTCTTGTAATTTTTATAGAATCACGTTAAATTTACAATCATTCTTACCAACCGTCAGCTAATTTATGGGTTATTAATTTATTATCGAGTGATGAATTACGGTTGGTAATTTTCATTCGAAGGCAAAGTGGTCAATCATTGTTTCCGAGAGGTTTGCAAGAGATAACGACTCCGGCGTGCTAATTACACATAATCCGGGATCGTCTGAGCATCGAGCAACAATTCGTACTTCTTCGAGGGTACAGCATTCCCTCATTGTAATTGTCCTCGCTCGAACGCCCCTACTAAGATCCCTATTCCCATAAGATCCTCGGTGTTTAAATTTACCGTCCTAATTATCAGAACGCGAATGCTCGTCTACATTCCAATTTTACGATGTTTCCGAAGCAGATCAGAGCCGATAGCTACAAAAAACAGATTCCGCCGCGAAATCAGAAAATTAATAATTGATATTATTATATATGGTGGAAGCCTCTATCTAACCCTGTAAATGTATGATTCGCGGGATTTATCAGACCGCACTGATCTCCGTAATCACGTTGCGTGACCCATACAGCACAATTATGTTCTGGGAATGTTGTGAGATATCTTTGGAGTCATCAAATTAAGTTGTAACGATTTCCCTTGTCTGACAGACGCTGGAGAGATACCGCGACTCTAAACTGCTCTTTCCGATTTTAATATATCAGCCGTACAATTTGTTCTTCCGTTAATGAATCTACGCCATTAGGCATAGCCTGAATCTTTATGCGCTTATGATAAAGTCAAATATGCGTATCAAAATATAAGTTATCAAATCACGGTATCGAGAAATTTAGAAAAATTTATACTATCGTATCTTTCACGATTTGTCAATACCAATAAAAGTAATTATCGACAAATCTTTGTGCAACGTTGAATTAGTGCTGTCTCAATAAATTAATCAATGCAAGCGATTTTCACTTTGCATGAGGATTCCTTGTTTAGTCATTAATCCTGAAAATACAGCCGCCCCTACACTAATCAGTCTTTCGCGATCGACCTTGGTCCGCTATTTACATCGAAATTAAGACGAACAATGAATCAAAATAATAGTCTCTTTATGAATTTCCATGAGGCTCAATTTTGAATAGTTCGTTTATGTAGCTCGGTTTCGGATAGTAAGCCTGGATGTTGTACATAAGCGGAAATTGCTGATTGTAAGGAGGGTATGCTTCCGGAAAGCGCTGATAATTTTGTAAATTGGAAGTTGCATCGTGTTNGATGATTTTTTTAATGTTGGGAATAAAAGCAAACTCCTCGACATTCTTTTTCTTTTTTTCGGTAGCTTTGAAATCTTATTGTTTTACATTTGGAAGAATACTGAATGAAGTGAAATCTTTACGGAAAACGAAACAACTTTCCAAACAACCCAATAAAATGGCGAAAGCCCTGAGTAAATTCAGTCTTGTAATTTTTATAGAATCACGTTAAATTTACAATCATTCTTACCAACCGTCAGCTAATTTATGGGTTATTAATTTATTATCGAGTGATGAATTACGGTTGGTAATTTTCATTCGAAGGCAAAGTGGTCAATCATTGTTTCCGAGAGGTTTGCAAGAGATAACGACTCCGGCGTGCTAATTACACATAATCCGGGATCGTCTGAGCATCGAGCAACAATTCGTACTTCTTCGAGGGTACAGCATTCCCTCATTGTAATTGTCCTCGCTCGAACGCCCCTACTAAGATCCCTATTCCCATAAGATCCTCGGTGTTTAAATTTACCGTCCTAATTATCAGAACGCGAATGCTCGTCTACATTCCAATTTTACGATGTTTCCGAAGCAGATCAGAGCCGATAGCTACAAAAAACAGATTCCGCCGCGAAATCAGAAAATTAATAATTGATATTATTATATATGGTGGAAGCCTCTATCTAACCCTGTAAATGTATGATTCGCGGGATTTATCAGACCGCACTGATCTCCGTAATCACGTTGCGTGACCCATACAGCACAATTATGTTCTGGGAATGTTGTGAGATATCTTTGGAGTCATCAAATTAAGTTGTAACGATTTCCCTTGTCTGACAGACGCTGGAGAGATACCGCGACTCTAAACTGCTCTTTCCGATTTTAATATATCAGCCGTACAATTTGTTCTTCCGTTAATGAATCTACGCCATTAGGCATAGCCTGAATCTTTATGCGCTTATGATAAAGTCAAATATGCGTATCAAAATATAAGTTATCAAATCACGGTATCGAGAAATTTAGAAAAATTTATACTATCGTATCTTTCACGATTTGTCAATACCAATAAAAGTAATTATCGACAAATCTTTGTGCAACGTTGAATTAGTGCTGTCTCAATAAATTAATCAATGCAAGCGATTTTCACTTTGCATGAGGATTCCTTGTTTAGTCATTAATCCTGAAAATACAGCCGCCCCTACACTAATCAGTCTTTCGCGATCGACCTTGGTCCGCTATTTACATCGAAATTAAGACGAACAATGAATCAAAATAATAGTCTCTTTATGAATTTCCATGAGGCTCAATTTTGAATAGTTCGTTTATGTAGCTCGGTTTCGGATAGTAAGCCTGGATGTTGTACATAAGCGGAAATTGCTGATTGTAAGGAGGGTATGCTTCCGGAAAGCGCTGATAATTTTGTAAATTGGAAGTTGCATCGTGTTGGACCACTGATGGCTGACCTATCTGAATCGTTGTTGTTGCCAGAGCGGTCGTCGTCCCGTTGGCAAAATGGCCATCGGCCAGCGTGCCATTTTGATTAGGTGACGAAGGTTCTTCGTTGTCGGCCATTTCATTGTACCTTAATTTCGCGTCCTTCTTTGCCTTCATACGACGATTTTGGAACCAGATCTTTATCTGGCGTTCGGATAGACACAGGGCCTCAGCGATCTCGATTCGGCGTTTCCTAGTCAGGTACCGATTATAGTGAAACTCTTTTTCCAGCTCCAAAGTTTGGAACCGGGTGTAAGTCTGCCTCGTCCGTTTAATTGCGGTTCCGGTCGCCTCGCCTGAAACAATGGAAGCATTCGTTTGCAATTACAACGAGTCTAGAAATGTCTACCGGGTTATGTCAACGTCATGTCTGGGGGTGTCTAGCGTGCAGATTTCCTGCACGTTAAATAAAAAAGAAAAGAAAAAAGAAAAGGTTATGTCACTACCTGTCTACCGGGTTCGGAAGTCCAACCAAATAAGTCATAAATTCCTTAATTGTCTAAAGCAGGGGTGTCAAACTGAAAAGCTATCTTGCGCCAAATAAATAATGCTTAACATTAGGTAGGCCGCAAAAAAAATCAATGTTTATAGAAATAAATATTTTTATTTTTCGCATGCAGCTCGCGAGTTTGACACCCCTGGTCTAAAGCCTTCAGGCCGATATGCCTTCAGACCTGTCAATCGTCTAAGTCCTCTGTCATCTTGAAACATCCGGCGTCTACAAACCATTAGACTTCATCCAGGGGTAATCGACCTGCCGCTGTTCCTCTGTCTCATTGACCTCCGCAGGACTCTGGTTCTCATTATTATTCTCATTGACGTATGTAGGATATTGGCTGGGTATGGCCTGCTGCAATGTACCATGTGGTGAAGTTGAAGATGCGGCCGCACCGGGATGAGGCTGCTGTGCAGGGTACGCTTGATCGTCGGGTTGATATGTATTTGCGTCTAACGGGCGATTTTGTACGTCGAAATATTCTCCGACAGGGGACATGTTATTCGCCGATGACGTCGGCGTGTACGTCGGCGTGTACGGCGGCGTGTACGTCGGCGTGTACGGCGGCGTGTACGGCGGCGTGTACGGCGGCGTATGCAAAATGTATCCATTTGGTGGTGTCATCGGTATCTCGGCGGTATTCGTGTTCAAATTATCGGCGTTCTTTCCTTGACGCAAAAGCGTCTCCAGGAAGTTTGAGCGGGGTACAAAATCCTGCACCGCTTGCTGGCTGTAATCTTGGATGGGTTGCAGCTGCTGATAGGTTTGATAATCATTATTCGGGTACATAACCTGTTCCGAGAATTGTCGTGTAACCTCAGATTGATGTGGCCAGTAATCGAGCTCGTTACCGGCAAAATATGTGGGACTAATCATCGTAACTTCCACAATCACAACACACTCTTATCACAACCGTTCTTCGATACTAGCCGCGTTGTTCGCGGGATTCTTCGTCACCTGCGAACCAAGTCATGGGCCGCGAAGCGAGATTGTATCACTATGATTCACTTTTTTCCACTTTGTCCCACTCGGTCACGTATCACCAAGCACCGAACACGATGTGAATCCTGTAAGACTTTCCGTAGGTCGTCCCGAGGTTGTCGAAAGCGGAGAGAGCTCCGCCAGGCATCGGAGACGACTTGCAAAGAAATGAAACGATCCCTGTCCCTGTGACGATTTTAACTGTCCTCGGTACGCAGGGGTTCTACGCGTGCCAAAAAGGGGCACCCCGGCAAACTTTCACCAGGTTATGACCGTACCACGCGGACAGAGCCTACTGGCGGAGGTGGAGGGGGTTGGTTCACCCTTGGTTCTCTCTCTCTTTCCTCTATCCTCTTTCTCGCCTTCGGTTTCTTGTTCTCGCCCTGTGGAAAGCCTCCCGTGGCTACAGCCATCCAGGGGAGCTTTCGCTTCTATCAGCTGCCCCTTGATTCAGAGTTAAGGCCACCCCCGTTACACGCACCGCTTTTCGATCTGTGCCGCAATCCCCTCCCACTATTAACGCTATTGACACAGAACCCATATTGGCTCCCCTTGCGCCCGACCTCGCACAATGCCAGCCATGTGTGCGAGAAGCCCCCCCTCCGTGACCCCAGATTTCCGGCCTACCGGCGACTTCCAACCCCCTCGAAGTCGAAAATGCCTCGCGAGATCCGCTGATAACGCTCGCTAAATTGATAAGTGGCCTTTAATGACCTGCCGATGAATTTTTCATGTCGGACGCGATCGTCTAGTATTATTTGTGGGGGGTCTCTGGTGGTCTGCGGTGCGAACGTATTTCGCGATTGAAACGGTTCGTCAGTGCAGCGGATTCGTTGTTGCCGGCGACTTGGGACACGTGCTTTTTTGACGTCTTCGTGTAGGCATTGACTGAACGTTTGCTCTTCGACCTCTTTATTAGCTGTGAAGTGTTTCAATGTTCACGGTTTCCTAGAAAAAGAGGAAATTTATATTTATTGTGTGAAGATAGAGTTGCGAGAAAATAGAATTTTGTTTCGGCTTAAAAGAAATAAATGAAAAATAAGAGCTCGTAATCTGTCATTTATTAATTTCTACAAAATTTCATTTCAGCTGTATGATTTCTCTTTCAGTTCAACCTTGTACAGCAAAGTCACAGGTCTTCGAATAATTGCCTCCGTGTTGCTTCTCGGTATATCAGAAAGATCCTCCAAATTCTAAGGATTAAAGCTCTATAATTTTTGTAAAATTAACCTAACCTAAAATCAGTATACGGAAATTTGTTTTGGAAAGATCGGTGCAGGGGAACGAAATATTTGCAGTCGAAGAAGGCTCGAATCACTTCGAACAGACGAATAGAAATTTCACAAGGGTTTTCGCCAACCACAATTTACAGCAGCCAATTTCAAAAAGAGAAATAAAAAGAGCCGGTTTCAAAAAGAGAAATAAAAAGAGCCGGTTTCATAAAGAACCGTACCTGTTCGATCATTACTCCTGTTGGCAGATAAAAGGTTTCGATTGTCTCCGATTCTCTACTAAATGGAAGCGACCCTCTCATAGGAGCCGCAAGCCTACTTTCATAATTCTTCAGCTTTCCTCAGCCTTTTCTCCCCGGCGCGGCGAGAACGGGAGACGGTTCTCCCCTGCTCGCAAATGCGCCGAAACGAAAGTGGGATTAATGAAAATACAGAAGGTGAACGGGGGCAGAAGAGACGTGCTAAATGCACGTGTATATAACAGGAAAAGAGGAGAGCTTGAAAGTGGAAGAGAGACAGAATAATTGAGAGAGAGAGAGAAAGAGAGAGAGAGTGAGGTGAGGAGGGAGAGGGTTTCAGAGGGGTTGATTAATCGTCGCCGGTCAGGCTTCTAGAAAGAGACGTCACTCGCAAGACTGCCTGCGTCTAGCTTTGCTCCCCAACGTTCTTTGTTTACTTGCTCGAAATATCTATTTCAATCTCTTCCTGCTAGCAAGGAAAAACATTGCAAAACATTCGAATCATGCCGAAGAAACTTTATAAAACGCGGCTGGGAAGTAGAACGAGTCCGAGATTGCTGCGATAATATTGCTACCCCTGGGAAATGCCTGGTGTGTGCGCTTTGGAACACTAATTCAATGATTCAACAGGAAGTTACCTGGGCAAACGGTGCTCTCGATTCTCGCCCACTTATTTTATTATTTAAATGAGAAATCATTATTTCGTTCCATCCCTTCGGGAGAAAGGGGAAACGCGAATTAAAATTCGAGAGGAGGTTACCTACGTCTGTTACGATGAACAGACGTTAAATAGAAATGCATTTCTACCGATTAACATTTTCACGAGTCTTAATCTGCCTCTAGTTCTAGAAGAAATCAAGCAATCTTCTGGAAATCACGAAACCGGGGCCGGTTCGCGTATAAATCCTTTAATGGCGAACTTACGTTACGACGATATACGGGAATTTCTCCCCAATTCGCGCTCAGATCGCGCACAAAAATTGATTATAATCGTTTCGAATAATCGAGAATTAGAGAGAAATTACTGTAGTAAGAAAGCTAAAAAACCGCGAACGCTCTTTTGATCTAATTTATCTCTTAATTTAATTTAATTTAATTCCGCACCTGTTAAATTGATTTTAGAATAATACCACGGACGCCACTATTGTAAGTTGACTAATTTAACCACGCGATATTATGCGCGGTATAACGTAACTATTTGTTAACATAATGTGAACAGTAGGCAGAAATAAATGGAGGATAATACGGAGAAAAAATTCGAACAAGTTGTAAATGATTGACAGCATTCGTCCACAATTGAATTATCGCTCTGGCTACCATCTGGTAACGAATGGTCTTTTAACCGACGACGATGTTCCAACAAAAACAGAGGAAGGAAATTAGCAAAATCATCAAGCTCGGCCAGCAGTTAGAAAAAAAGATTGACACCGAAGGGTCTCGTAGGTTCGTTAGGGCGAAGATTGATGTATCTACGTTTATTAATTCACGTTCGCATAGGTGAGAATATTATCAACGCCGGGAACTGTCGAATCGATGATCCCAGGATTGAGTGAGACGCAATCGGCTCGCGGAGAAGGACGCTAATGATCCCGGGACCGCGTTTGAGGAGCCGGCATCGAAACAATTATCGCTCGCCGGAGATAATAGACGGCCTCGCGGACAAACTATAAATAGTAAAGCAACCCCGAAAAAAGAGGAGAGAAAAAAAGCATGATTAATGATGCGTTCGACGCGGTGACCAAACCTACGGGGACTCCAACGGCTGATCAGGATGGACACGCGTCTGCACGCACACGATCGCGATCATCCGTGCACGTTCACCGGCCTGCACTCACACGTGCCCGCAAATGATGTCCGGGAGAACAACCGAAGAGCCGGCTCGCGTGTGTACGGGACGAACGACCACGACGATAATAAATAATAATCCGCAAAGGGCGATACTTGTGGGAAGCGGAGAGCAGGGCCCCGGCCGAGCACGGTGCAAATGATTTTACCTACTGACTTCATTTTCATCGGTGAAGCGAAAATTGTGGGGCAGATATGCGAGATAGATGGAGAAACTGCCATTAATGTGCCAATGATCGAGGCAGCGTTTAGGCTCATTAGTTCACTGCATTGTTCTTAAAATCGTTGGAAGTTGATAAAATCGCTGAAAAAAATCGTGCAGCAAAATGAGGCGATTTTAACGAGATCTTTGAACACTTTGGGGCGAATTGAAACTGTTGATTGATTTACAGAAGCGAAAATAAAAGAACTATGATTTTATTCAATTTTAGAATCGTCTGTTTAGGCATAATTTTGTTACATTAAAAATAAGGAAGCTATGATTTTGTTCATTTTTATAATGCTTTCTTCGGATTACAATTTTGTTGTACATTAAAAATAGGAGATTTACTATTAATTTTTTTTATTATTACATATTATTAGATTTATGATTACATACTATTGTCTTATTTATTTTTGCAACGGTCTGTTTAGACAGAATTTTGTTAAACGCCTTCGAAATTTAATTGTTCGAAGAACTCCAATGGTCGAGAAACTCTGACAAAAATATTAAATCCAAGAACATTTGCCATACTCGAAGATTGACCACCCTAAGGTACTCGAGGGGTTACCTTCCGTATTAATTGGCATTTTCTCGCTTCTAAAAAATTGCATAAATTTCAACGGAACACTTTTAAGACGTTTTAATTTATCGCGGCAAAAATCAGCAGAAGCCCGTCGGGGTGGTCGGACCTCCGCAATTACCCTGGGCGACGGACTGGCGTATATGATCGAAAATCTTAATTACACAGTAAGAAATCCGCGAGTCCCTTCGACAGACTTCAGCCTGTCGGTCTTCCATGGTGTTCCTCGAGTGTCTTGCAGGAGGGTGCGAGAAAAGGAAGGAAAAATTGCCGGCGAGGCGAAAGGGCAGGTTCTTATTTACAGCGGGACCAGACGTGGCATTAAGCAAACTACCTGAACGACACCCGGGGATGACGTATTGCAGCCGAAGTGCGGGGGTCTTTATATTTTATGAGTCCGCATCATAAATAGCAGCGTCCCTTAACGGGCCGGGCGAGCAGCTCGAAGACACGCGCCTTCTCACAAGTTATCCCCACCCGAATGGCCGCCGCCAACGCTACGTTGTCTTCATTTTTCCGTGGGCCTGGGCCCGGAGGACCCGGCGACACCATAAACAGAATTACTGCCAGCTATTCCGCGCGTTTTTGTCAAGGCCAGGTAAAAGACGAACGCGGTCCCCAAGCCGGACGCCGAAATTTCCTCCGCCCGGCGACAACGAGCAGTGAAACTTTCGCTGCCTTCATCCCTCGGCAGCTGATTTTTTCCGGAAATCGGCTACGCACCGAGCTGGCCCGCGATGTTGAAGCTGCCGCATAGCAGGAGGCCTTTTTGTTACCGTGTTACACGGTGAACGTGTGCTGATCTATCTCCTCGGGACATCTTGATGCTGTGTTTAGGGTACTCCGGTTTTGAGGTCTGGCGGAGCTTCTGGGTCACGCGGGTTAAAAAGTCGGCAACCTGTGGCCTTCGGTGCTTTTCGGAACAGTTGCGTGGACGCAGTTTTTTGCTCGAACTATTTCATTTCGATAGAAATTTAAGATTAACACTATTTCCACCAGAGGGAGCAATAGCTGATTTTTAAAATTTTTATTTAATACTATTTTTACCAAGACATCAAAAAATTACTTTTAATATTTTCATTCAGTAATATTATTTTCTGATGTTTTATTTTAATAGCATTTTTAGCAACGAAGAAATCAAGAGACACCTTTTAAGATGTTAATCGAATACTGTTTCTACCAAATAACTCAACAGACGACTATTAAAACGTTTAGTTTTATCAGAAAGATCAAGAGAATTGTTGAAATTGTTTCCTTAATTCGATCACTTTACTTGAATCGACTCCTTACCTTTCCCTATTTAAATCATAAAATCAATTTGATAAAATTACATACAAAAGATCGGTAAAAATAGTCTTAATAAACGAAGAAAGAAAAAATAATCTCTATACCAATTTTAAATAGAGTGAAAAGAGAAGTTTGATCTGGAATAATTTTGTCTACAGAGAATTTCATTAGAAAATTCTATTGGAGAATTATATCTAGAGAGTATAATCATAACTTCGGATGAGATTGTTTGAAATAAAAGGTTCGTCTCCCAAAATGAACGGCACTGGGTCTGCTCGATTCGGCTGCATCTGCGAGTGGTCGGACAAAGGGGGTCAGGCATTGAACCAGTTACTTCGAATGCGGATTCTTGCTCGGCGGGACAAATTAAATTGGGGCTCCGCGTTGCGTGAAATGGCGCGGCATCTCGGGGGGTAACATATGTGCCCTTGCCCGCCCCGTGTACCCTCCTCCGAAGGGACAGAAAATTCTCGGCAACCGGAGGGCGCCGTTTTCGACCATTTGGGAAAATTGGGAATATCGGGATCAAGCCAGGGCTGCCTTCTACCATTGTTCGATTGATT